GCCATAGTATTGAAATTACATATGTATATTGTATACTCTCACAGTTTAACTGCTTTTATTCTAAAACACTTGTGATTATCTAATCAAATAACAAACTTACAGTTATCACACACACATGTCGCGTTGCGTTCAATTCAAGCGGCGGTCTAAAGCAGTTTATTTAATCACCAAATGAGCAAAAGTTTACTTTAAGAATGATCAAAAAGCGGCATAGATTGAAGTTTGGTGTTTAAAACAAACTGAAAGAGAAAGCGCGATATATATTACAGCTCTCTATATGAAGCATACAGACTTTATTAGAGCCACGGAAAGACAAAGGTTTCACTGAAAAATGCACAATACACAATCTTCCAGCCCAGGGTGAAGTCATTATGTACATTAACAACGATCTGGAACAGATATGATGTAATTTAATGTAAAGCTATATGAATGGTGCTCTGCGGCGTGCAGGATTTCTGTCGACTGAATGAACATATCAGTTTGCTTTCTCACGTCACTAGTTTTAAACATGCAACTTCACTGGCTAACAAATGCTTTAATGTGACCAGATGGATATAAACTAATGCAAATAGATGGTAATTGTGACATTAAACATTTTGGTCGGACTTGCGTGTGTTTTGATCACATTGTTTTAGCCACTTGTGTGCGTCTGCTGTTCTTTCTCCACTAATGCAGCATCTAGTCAACAAATTAATCACTTAGTAATGATATGAAAACATGCACTGTAGTATACTATAGCACTATAGTTAGTTGTCGATGTTTTAAATCCGCATAATGACTGCAGAGTTTCAGCCACTCCGGCAACAGACACAACCCGGAAAAATCGTCATGGATTTTTACCGATAATGCCGATTAATCGGCAAAACCGATACATCGGTTGACCTCTAAATAAAATGTCACGTTTATTTCTGTACAGTACAGATTGCGTCAAAGCAGCTTCACAGAAATAGCAAAATCAATTATGGAAACTCAACTATAGAGACTAGTGTTATTATTTAGCTCAAGTCAGTTCAGATCAATAAAAGTGTTAATTAACCAGCGATAGGCAGTTCTACAAAGATATTATTTATATAAGTGTACTTTTATATGACAGCGGTGTAGTAAAAACAGAACATTTTTCTTTTGCACTTTGCACATACAGACAATAAAACATTCCCCGTTCACATGGATCCGCAAAAACGACTTAAAAACTGTATTATTCATGCCAGGCCAGTCATATCTTTGTAAAGAAACACTATGCAAACACGTAATACGCACACACATGAATTCGCTTTTTTGTAGTCTACATGAAGATGATAACAGGAAAAAAATGTGCATGTTTTCAAAAGTTTACATTTAAAACACTTTGGCTGTGAAAACGAATGATTAAAATGCACGAAAAGTACATTGTTTTTAGTTGAAAATGGTGTCGTGTAAACGCCTCCTATGATGTTTTCTGAAGAGTTTTTGCTTAAAACCTGAAAAAATATCTTAAAAAACAAACTGCTGAAAATACTTTGCCTAATTTGGTGCCTAATGGCCTTTTAAAAGTTGCTTGTAAATCACTTGTTATGCTATATTATCAGCAGATCTTGGGTTCAGTTTGTTTTCTTTCAGTTAGCACAGGTTTTGTGTTTCTTTTTGGAGCTGGTTGATCGTAGGCTTCATTGATATGAGCTCATGCACCTCAGTTTTTGCCTATGATCCATCAGTTCTAAAAAGAAATAGAAAACCTGTGCTTATTGAAAGAAAAATAAATTGGAAATAATATAGCATAATGGGGAAAAAAGTAATAATAATAAGCAATTTTTGTGGGATAATTTTTGCTTTTAATTTTTGATCAGCAATACCACAAGTGTAACCAAAAAATAAAACAAAATAAATCAAAATTTTTTGGAAGTTGTTTTACCCTGTATGAGCAAAGTCAGTAAGTTTTAGTCCAATACTTTATTATTAACTAGCATTTTTGGGAAAAAGAAAATTCCACACAATAATTAGGTTTAATTCGAAGAGGAAACAATATTATTTATAGATTATTATTTATAGATTATACCCCTCTGACCAATATATTTTCTTGTTTTAAGCAAAAACTCACTTCATTTTAATGCTTGTTTCTTCAATAAATAAAACATAAATTAAATAAATAAACAAATAATGTATCTTGTAACATATCTTGATTTAAAAATGTTTAGATATTTGTACTGGAAAACAAGAAAAAATCATTTTTGCAGAATGAATTTTAGTAAGTATGAGTGTAAAAGCCCCGCTTTAAGTCTTCTTGTCGTTGACAGGGAACGTGACGGATCTGAGGAGAAACTCGAGCCGTTTGTCGTCAAAGCCGAGAGTCTCGTGGAGCGATCACTTAAAGACACTTCGATTCTGAGCCGGACCGGCTCGTACGGCAAAATCAACCGCTCGCTGGATTTCTCATCCCGCATTTCGGAAGACTCCAAGAAAGACGTGCCACATTGGAGCGTTCACAGAGTAGACTCAGCATCAGAAATACTAAACAGAAGTTTCACGGGCGACTCAGACGTCAGCAGCTGGAGACGAGTCCTTCCTCTTCACAAACCTGAAGCAGATAAAGCAGGTGAGGATGCTTCGTCAGAAGAAGCAGATCCGGCGTCTCAGACGGATTCCCAAAAAGGAGATGCTGAGATTCCAGCTTCGGTTTTACCCACCTCAGATCTTCAGCCGGAGACAAAAGGTCTTTCAGAGACGCTCTCGGGATCTGAGCGCATGCCAGACGCTCTTTCTCCTCCTCCAAAAGACTCCAAACTGGACAGCAGCTTGGCTAAAAGCAGCGGCGACAGACACCAGCTGCCCGCTTTGTTCAGCGGTTTACGAGTGTTAAAGAAAGGAGCAGTCGGAGACGAGAGGGAGACGCTTTCAGAAATCAAACCGCGAGATGCGGATCGAGCGCTGCTGAGCCTCAAACAACACGTCAACAAAACCAAAGTCCAACAAAACACCAGCACTGGAGTTACTAAAAAGAAAAACGAACCCAGACGTTTATCTGAAATCACCGGTTTGCTACAGAAAGCGTCGAGCGCCGAAGTCAAACAGAACGAGGACAAATCCGACGCCGCAGATCCGAGCGCTGGTAAAACGGTGACGGATACGTCGTTTGATGCTTTAAAATCCAAATTATTCAGCTCGAAACCTGCTAAGAAGGATCCGGTGGATGCAGCGCTGGATCTGGACGCTGTCAGGAGGAAGAAGAAGAGCGATAAAGAGCTGCTGAGGTCTATCTTTGAGAGACAGCTGAGTAAAGCTCCAGTCGCTGACCCCAAGAGTCCTACAGAGGAGAAAGTATGTATTACAGATGATTTACGACACCGCAATCAACGCCATCATCCCTTAATTAAACATGATGTTGTTAACGTACTTATTCATTGAAGTGTCAATCATTTCTAGTATCATATTTGCAGTAGTTATTTCAGTTTTTCTCTGATTTTAAGGGTGTGTTGCTAACACGTCAGTGAATTTATTGGACAAAAAATACTGGCAATGAATGAAGAGTTCAATTGCAAAAACAGATAGCTGTTCTCAAAAATTATGTTTTTTCATTGTGCATTCCAATTAATCTCAATCAAACTGCAGCTGGGTTATTTTGATTAGGTTAAAAATCGCAGCTAACTAACGCAATAAAACATAATAAAAACATGATTTTTGAAAATAAAAAAAAACGGAGTTATCTGATTTTGCAAATAAACTCTTCAACTCTTAAGGCTTAAGAAAATTTTTCATTTCGTTCCCATAAAAAAAAAAAAGAAGTACTATTTATTGATTGACTGATTGTTATTATTTATGTTTTTTCTGTTTTTATCTGATTTTAAGGGTACAAACAAATGTTAATAAAAATAGATTTAGATTTATAAAAATGTTAATTATCAACAAACATTAATAATAATAGATTTAGATCTAGTACATTTACTAAATCTATTATTATTATTATTATTATTGTTGTATTTTTCTGTTTTTATCTGATTTAAGGGGTACAAACAAATGTTAATAAAAATAGATTTAGACTTATAAAAATGTTAATTATCAACAAACATTAATAATAATAGATTTAGATCTAGTACATTTACTAAATCTATTATTATTATCATTATTATTATTATTGTATTTTTCTGATTTTAAGCGCCCAAATGAATGTTTTTGCTAAACGTCAGTAAATGTAATTGAAAACATTTATTGGCAATAAATAATTAATTTAATGAATGAATAAATTGATTGATTAATTAATTAATATTATTGTTTACAGGCAATGAGTATGGTGCATTTTGTCCCTGTAAAAATAGAAATACTATTAATTTTTTATTATTTATCATTTAATTATTTTATGCAGATGTATGCTCATACAGATGATTTATTACATCTCAATCAACGTGATCATTCATGAAGGCATAGAAAACATTTTATCTGTTGTATCTGTTCATATTAATTAATGTACTGTGAAATAACGCAAGCAACCAGTGAACAGTGTTTTTTTATAAACTAACAGTATTCATTGAAATAATTCAATTTTAATCAATATTTTAATAAATGTATTTACAAAGTTTAACAACATTGCTTTTTTAATATATTGCTCATTGTAAGTTTGCGTTCGCGAAACCCTTAACCAAAGAGACCTTAATGCAAAGTGTTGCTCTTTTAATTTTCTTGCATTTCGGTGAAAACCAGCTCTGAGCATTGCATACATGTCAGTCTGTGAGTGTGAATATTCCTTCAAATATGTTTGTGTTTTGGTGGAGATTATTTCTCTTACACTTTGATTTAATCATGCTGTTCTTGGCCAACTGGCAATTAAGGTTTTATTTACTCGTTTTTTTGCTTGCGTTTGTTATTTTGTGAGTGTTGTCGTTTTTAAAATGCTTTATAAACTAACTTCAGTTGAGTTAGTTATGAAGTACTAAGTTTGAAAGCTAAGTGAAATCGAGTGTCTGTATTCATGCAGTGTTTATGGACAGGTTGAGACGTTGATTAATTCCTGCACGCTGTGTGTCTCTCCTCAGTCTGAGGTCACGTCTCCGTCAGACGGTGAGGACCGAACCCCTGGCCGTCTGCTGGCCGTCTGGCCTCCACCTAAAGAGGACGGAGAGGAGAAGGTGGGCCTGCGTTACACTGAAGCCGGTGAGCGGGTTTGTCTTCACTCGTCTCCTCCACACCTTCTTTCCTAATCTAATCTAATCTAATCTAATCTGTGCCGTCTGGGCTTTAGAAGCTCAGATGTTGTTGTGTATGTTTTTATTCGTCCTGCGTGATCACACGGCTCTGTTGTGTGTCATGTGATGCTAATCAAATGCAGTTTAAGCATCATCCTGGTTTGAAGGACTGAAGGAATGAATGCAGGAGCTTGATTCATTAAAGTACACAGAGCCGGTTAATTACTTCTGACTCGTGTAACGCTAAACCAGCCGCTCTGGTTGATCCAGCTCTGAGCTCAAGCTCCTGATGGGTGTGAGTCCATGTGTGTGTGTGTGAGTGAGTGTGTGTGAGTGTGGTGTGCGTGCGTGTGTGTGTGAGTGAGTGTGTGTGTGTGTGACCAAATGTCTTCACAAGGATAGTAAAACCTGACATTTTTGACATTGTGGGCACCGGCCTGTGGTCCCCATGAGGGAAAAAAATTATTCAAAATAGTAAATGATGTTTATCTGAAAGTGTAAGAAGAAGGTTTTCTGTAAGGCGTAGGTTTAGGGTTGAGTTAGGGGATAGAAAATATTGTTTGGTCAGTATAAAAGTAACAGAAGTCTATGGAAAGTCCCCACAATTCACAGAAACAAACGTGTATGTGTGTGTGTGTGTGTGTGTGTGTGTGGCATTTCATCATAGAATAGGTCTAGCCCTATTCGGACGGTAATTATTTCTCATATGGATGTCTGTAAAAATACATTTACATGAGCACCACAGTGATAACACTCATGGATTCGGATGGGGATTTATTCACAGGAGAAGCTGCTCATGTGGCCAGTCACATGATTGTCTGCTGTAAATAAAATTAATTTTATTTATTCTTATTATTGTGTAAAATGTATTTTTTAAAATGTGACCATGCAGCACAAAAGCAGTCATAAGCAGCACAGGTATATTTGTAGCAATAGCCAACAATACATTGTATGGGTCACAATTATAGATTTTTCAAATACAAAAATAACTACTGACATAGTAACATAACATGACCCCTCCTCTTCTCCATATACACTACATCACCTGGTAGTTGATGGAAGACCAACCACCGTTACACCAATGTCACACACCACAACTCACAATTGGACTAACAGTTTCACATCACATACGACAACATCTGAGCCAACTATGAGTTTCACATTGCATACAACAACTCCCGATCATAGTATCAGTGATTTTTGATCTGACCTGATGAACTGAACTTTAATCTCCACATTCGTCTCACAGTTCTATACTCTTACTTCGTTGCAGGAGGAACACCTGAGCTCGTGTACGGTTGTAGTTTGTGTTTTCTCTGGATGAATGAACTCTCGCTGTTGTTTGTGTGTTTCAGAGCACCAGGCCGCGCTCCTGCAGCTGAAGAGAGAGAGTAAAGAGGAGCTGGAGAAACTACATGTAAGTGTTGTGTCTAAACAATCCTGCAGTACTGACAGAAAACACTAGAGGTCAGGAGGGATGGTGGGATCGAGCCCTGTGCACTGCAGAGTGTTTGGCCTCCAGATCTCAATCTGAGGGATTTTCTGTTTAATAAGGCAAAAAGAAACAGCATTTCCACTTTTATTGATTCAGTACGAGCTGTTTCTGGGTTATAGATACCTAAAACCATAAAAACCTTGAAATAAAATAAACTTTAACTGAAATTAAATGTGTGTATATATATATATATATATATATATCAGGGTTTGTACAGGTGCTTGAATTCCTTGAAAATCTCCAAGTCAAGTCACCTTTATTTATACAGTGCTTTTAACAATACAGATTGTGTCAAAGCAGCTTTACAGCATTAAATAGGAAAATAGTGTGTCAATAATGCAAAACTATAAATAATGCAAAATAAACTAAAAATAATGCAAAATGCTTGAATTTTAATGTAGTTTAATATATATATATATATATAAACTTAAAACAAATTTTATTTCAGCTAGTTTCCAAAGCAACATTTCTCATTTTCAAAACTGAAACTGAAACAAAAATAATAGAAACGATATAGATATATGTAAAAAAAATTTTTTTAAATGAATAAATAAAAATAATAATGATAATAATAATTTTAAAAAATTATAATACTATTAAAAATTTAACAGAAGTTCAAATGAAAACAGAAAATATAAAAATAAAAACCAATTCAAAATATTAATAAAATGTAATCTGATATACGAAACAAACTAAAACTATATCTGGAATAAAAATGTATTAAACCTACATGGACATAAATAAACCCTGATAGAACTTACTAAAACTTTAACAAAATTTAAAATGAAAACAGAAAACATAAATATAAAAGCCAATTCAAAATATTAATAAAAATGATAACACTATTTCAATAATACTAAAATAGCACCTCTGAGTGCAGTAGATTGAGTAGATATTTTAATGAAAGACTGAAATGTGTTTTTTCAGAGCAACATCATCACTGATGAATAACTTACAGTAAGACCAGGACCATGCATGCATTATGAAGACAGTAATTTTTCATGTCATGTTGATTGTAAGGTAATGGCTAAGCGGATTCGTCTGTAAACTCGTACAGCGTTCAGTTTTTCTCCTGCTGTCAGTTTAGCACTAAATGCAGATTTACTTTAAAGCTTGATGATCCCAGATCCCAGCAGTCCGTTTGCTGTCTGGACAATATGATGTTTAATCATTTTTGAAAGCACATAACACCGCCGACGGCTGCTATGGAAAATCAGTGACGTCGACGAGCGACTAGTTTACGAGCACGTGCTTTATGATCGACGCTAAGAGCCAAGCTCTTGCTTTCTTCATGACCACGATCTGACCTCACAAAGGCCTTCATTTGATCAAATATGAGCGCATGGTCTGTGTTTCATTTTGAGAAGAGTGTTAAACCTCGTACTTAAAGTTTAAAAAAAAAAAAAAATTTTATGTGCCTTTATAGTTTTAATTAATATTTTGAGTTAGTTTTTGTTTTTATATTTTCCGTAAATTTTACATAAATTTTAGTTTTATTTTATATTTCTTTGTTTTTGTTATTTTTATTAATTTTGATACATTTTTAATCTTGATTGAAGAAAGTTGAGATATTGGTACTGGAAAACAAGCCTGAAATACTGAGGAAGACAGCGTTCATTCATGTTCAGTCAGTCTGCCAGAGAAGCGCGTTTGCTCATAGCAGCAGGTCAGTGTGTTTCTAGTGTTTAATGTGCTGACCTCTGACTGTAAACAGTGATATTGAATGTGAGGGCAGCGTGAAGGGAGCCGTGATGTTCTGATGGATTCCAGATGCTCCTGGCGGCTCCTCTTATGAAGATGATGCTTTACTGCTGAACTCATCTGTAAATCTGCGACTCAAGAAAACTCTTCGTTATTTCTGACTGTAGAAAGAGTCTGAATGTGATAGAATCAGACGGACTGCACTGGCTGACAAAAAGTGATATTCATCCTCTGGATTTTTGGAGAAAGGACAAAAAACATGATTTTCTTCCTCAGTATTTGTATCTTGTTTTCCAGTACAAATATCAAACATTTCATTCAAGATACATTTACTGGAGACGCAAAATAACATTGGATATTAAGTCAAAATTGGATACAAAACAAAATTAAGTGAGTTTATTATTAAAACAAGAACAAATATCTGTATAGAACTTGTTAAAATAATGTTAACCCTTTAGGCGCCAGGGTTTTTTTGGAAAAATGCTGGATTTTGACATCAAGATTAAAAAAGCTTGTGGTTTGAAAGGGCTTAAAGATAGAGATCTACTGTAAATTAGAAAAATGTTGGGCATGACTGAAAGTTTATGTGGGGTGTAAATATACTCATCTAATTTGCATATTATGACGTCATCAGGGGGTGGCCCTCTTGAATGTCATAATATTCAGGAAATAATAGATATTGAA